TGGGCTCAAGGGATCCTCCCACCTCATCTTCCCAAGCAGATGGGACTACAGACATGCGCCACCACGCCCAGCTAATTTAATTTTTAACTTTTTTGTTTTTGAGACGGAGTTTCGTTCTTGTTGCCCAGGCTGGAATGCAATGGCGCGATCTCTGCTCAATGCAACCTCCACCTGCCAGTTTCAAGTGATTCTCCTGCCTCAGCCTCCCCGGTAGCTAGGATTACAGGCATGCGCCACCACGCCCAGCTAATTTTGTATTTTTAGTGGAGATGGGGCTTCTCCATGTTGGTCAGGCTGGTCACGAACTCCTGACCTCAGGTGATTCGCCTGCCTCGGCCTCCCAGTGCTGGGATTATAGGCGTGAGCCACCGCGCCCGGCTTTAATTTTTATTTATTATTATTATTTGTTTTGTAGAGACAAAGTCTTGTTATGTTGCCCAGGCTGGTGTTGAACTCCTGGGCTCAAACGATCCTCTAGCCTCGGCCTCCTAAAGTGCTGGGAGGATCAGGCACTGGTGTGAGCCACTCTACCCAGCCTGTTGTTTATTTATTTATTGTTTACTTCTTCAGTGAGTGCCCACTCTGTGTCCTGACACTAGGGATGGAGGAGTGAACAGGACAGAGACCCCTGCCCTCGTGGAGCTGACATCCTAGTAGGGAAAACATAAAAAAGAAGTCCAGGCCAGGCGCTGTGGCTCACGCCTGTAATCCCAGCACCTTGGGTGGCTAAGCCAGGCTGATCACCTGACGTCAGGAGTTGGATACCAGCCTGGCCAAAACGGCAAGATCTCATCTCTACTAAAAATACAAAATTAGCCAGGCCTGGTAACAGGTGCCTATAATCCCAGCTACTTGGGAGCCTGATGTGGGAGAATCACTTGAGCCCTGAAGGCAGAGGTTGCAGTGAGCTGAGATCACTTCACTGCACTCCAGCCTGGGTGACAAAGATAGACTGTCTCAAAAAAACTAAAAAGGCAGCCAGAGAAGGTCTGCCTGGGAAGGAAACATTTCAGCAAAGAACAGAAGGGAGAGAGGGATCCCCGGGGACAGCTGAGGGAAGGGCCGTCCAGGCAGAGGGAAGAGCCAGTGCGAAGGCCCTGAGACAGGTGTGTGCCTGCCCTGGAGAGCAATTTCAATGATGCCGGTGTGCCCAGGGGTGCAGAATGTGATGCGGCATGGGTGTTCACAGGGGCCCTTTGGCTGCATCAGGGAAATGATCTTCAGGGCCAGGAGCGGAGCAGGGAGACCCAAAATGCATAGGACAGAGCCTGGCCCGTGGCAGACTTGTAGCAGTCATAACTGGAAGTTGGAAAGAGGCTGGAGGAGGTGGTCTAAGAAGGCAAGGTGGGCTGGGTACAGCAACTCACATCTGTAATCCCAG